ATCTATTATTTTATTTATTAATCATCGACAAAAATATAAAAATAAATTGTATAACGTGCTCTGATGAATTCAATAAAATCATTGTATAACAAAATTTTATTAATAGATTAAAAAATATTACTTATTTAAAATAGTAAAAAAAGGTCTTACTCCAAGATCCCATAACTGATTGTAGTAGGAATTTAGACGCATCCTATGCCAAAAACACTGAATTTACTTCATAAAAATCACCACAATAGTCAAAAATACTTTTTGTAAACCGATCAACATGGTTTGGTACGGAACGAAACTTTGAGAAGCGGTTGTGGAAACCCAAGGGCGGCGCGACGGAGCGCGGAAGGGCGTCTCGAGGCGGGCGGCCTCCGCCGTCACTATGCACTAAGTGGTAAGTGCAAGTTAACCGCTGGCGAGCCTGCAAGTCTCATCGATCGCATACACTTTCTTTATCCACGCACCTGGGTAAGGAACAGGGGAACTGTCTGGATCGCTAAGTGCTACGAAGAGATTTCGGCAGAACGGCTTCTCGAAAATGAACTTTAACATGTTAATAGTTAGGTGCGTTATTGTTTATTTACTCAAAGTTTCTTGTACTTATGTAGACGTGTTTTATGTTATTTTATTTACTAACTAAAAGAAATGAAAGTTTTATAATAATTAACTAGGAAAGCTTTGTAAAACATATACTTAAATGTGTTTCCGTAAACATCGTGGTTGTACGGGTGCCTATATTCATTATTCAGTAAAATGTTCTTTATAAAGTAACATTTCAAAGAAAACAACAAAGTTTGTTTAATTCAAAACATTCATTGTACAGAATGACTTATTCGCTTTAATGGCTCACTTTGGTGTCGTAACTTTTAATACTTTATGTTGTAAGTCGAAATTTTTCTCTTTTATCGTTGTTTTCATGGTGGTTTCCCGTGTTTTTAACAACAAAACTGATGGGAAGGAGTGTAATTGTTCCTACATTACATTTTTGGTATAAAGTTTAAGTGTAGAAGATTATAAAACCTTGGGGCTTTAATCCGTGGAAACCTTGATAACTTTTCTTATTGTGAACTTTGTTGAAGTATTTTTACGAATGAAGTTGTCTAGTTAGTTCAAAGGCTATAGGTGAATTTGTTGTTTCCTTTTACATATTTTTATTATATAAGTATAACACATTGTTTCGGATACCTAAGTAGTACTAAAAAGTAACATTAGTAGATGATTACGAAATATTATGAAACAAAACAAGTTTATCACAGTAAAATGTAGGTACACAGAAATAATTCCCGATCGATACTTTAATATGAGTTCATATAAAGATTTTGATTATTTCAAAAGATAAGATAATAACACCATAATAACTTCTGGGTACATTTAGCCCTAATTTTATTATTGCCCTTTATATCGATAAGGTTTATTAAGTTGTGTTCCGATCGATATTATATATTAAGTATTCGAATGATTACTGATGTGGCGGGCCACTTTTATATTTATTTATCTTATCTGAGGATGACACTTTTAAGATAACGATACATTTGTTTTTCACACGGAAGAGTTGGAACTCTAGGAATTACTGTTAGCTAGTTAGACCGGTAAGTATAGATACAGTTAATAGGTATCTATCAGTATTTTTTTAAATACGAAATTTCTACATACGTACGAGATCAAGGGTTGAATTTTTATTGTTCTCTGTTAAAGCACGGTTGGTGCGGTGGCTGGGAAACCGGCTGCCGCGCAACGTGTAGCGGTGACGATTCCCACAAGTAGCAACTCTTTGTGTGATCCACAGATTGTTGTTCCGGGTCTAGGTGCCATGTGTATGTGAACTTGTATGTTTGTAAACGCACCCACGACATAGGAGAAAAACCTAGTGTAGGGCAATGTTTTAAATAAAAAAAAGAAAGCATTTTTCACTGTTTAGTTAGTCATTTACTAGTGGTCACAATTTTCGTCATTAAATGTCTCTGTTCGTATTTAATAATCTTTAATCTTTAATGTATCGTAGTACTGCCTCGTTGGCCGAGTGGTCGCAAGTGCGACTGCCGGGCAAGGGGTCTCGGGTTCGATTCCCGGGTCGGGCAAAATATTACTGGGTTTTAAAAAAATCTCAGTTGTAGCACGGAGTCTGGAATTGTGCCCGGTATATGGCAATAGGCTCACCCCCTGTTACATGGGACTCATAATATAAATATTGAAAAGTGGGTGTTACTTCTGTGTGCACCTCTGCCTACCCCCTCGGGGATAAAAGGCGTGATGTTATGATGATGATGATGTATCTTAGTACATTAAAGACCCAATATATACCGTACCGATGTGTATGTACTGTAGTTATAGCCAGAACAGTTGTCAAAGCGCTGGGCGCTGTAACGTGACCACCGAGCGACGGTTCTTAATTAACGAAGGCTCGGACAAACTTCGACAACTAAGGAAACTAGTTACAGTTCCAGTTCAAAGTAATTAGTAATAGTAAGTTCATAAAAATACATTAAGATATTTAAGTTTTCCAATTTTGTAGTTTATATCTAATGCTGTTCAGAAATCGACTCAAAGGACCAAAATTCGTTTCTATTTTTGTTATTTTACTGATGGTAGCGCGTGGAAGTAATTTAGATCTAACCGGAAATTAATAGGAAACATTATCCGTTAACCTTCAAGAAACCCCTAAAGAAATTATATCTCTGCTTAGATCGCTTGAACGCGATACGTAAGCCGCGACTGTTACAATGCAGTCCAAAGGACCGACTTACACTTATTTAGGTAGTACCTGCCAAAATTTATAGTTCCGTGCCACCGCGGCATGCATCGCGAAGTTTGAAACCTTCCTGTGGTGATAAAGTTCCGTATTTAGGTAATCTGTTTCAGCTGTATGAAAGCCATGTGATGTGACGAGGGGAAGGCTTGAACCGTTTCAGTGCAAGTGGTGTTCAGGGTAGGTCGTGCGGTCCCCCGCGGGGTGGAGGGAGGCCGTAGTAGGAATATCCTTCACCTCCCGCGCTAGGTCAGGGTTAACGGTACCCCCGAGCTCGGGTGACGGAGCCACCTTCGACCTTGGATGGGATGCGTGCGTTAATGCACTTTGTATAAAAGTACCATCTCTACAATTAACACAAAGCCATTTGACAGATATAATTGCTCTAAAAAAATAAGAAAACAATGTGATGATGATTGCAGTTAACCTCATTGAAACCTAGGTATTATCATGTGGCATTACCACAAACAAAACTTAAGAAAGTGTGGATTATCACTGTAGCTTTCGGTGACATTTGTATGAACCCAATATTAAAACAGCCAGCATCACAAGAATCCAATCTGTACAATCTGCCACATGCAGACATTCATGTA